CACCGTGAACGATCATTGGAGCGAACTTGCCCTGAAACTCCCCTTGCCCCCCCCATGGTTATAATTCCGTTTAAAACCCCTCACCCTCCTTTGGTCGTTCTATTTTAAAAAGCTTTTAGGCCGGCGCCGCGGCTCACTTAGCTAATCCTCCGCCTAGCGGGCGCCGGCACACCGGGTTCTAGTCCCGGTTGCCCCTCTTCCAGGCCAGCCCTCTGCTGTGGCCAGGGAGTGCAGTGGAGGATGGCCCAGGTGCTTGGGCCCTGCACCCCATGGGAGACCAGGAAAAGCACCTGGCTCCTGGCTCCTGCCATCGGATCGGTGCGGTGCGCCGGCCGCAGCGCGCCGGCCGCGGCGGCCATTGGAGGGTGAACCAACGGCAAAGGAAGACCTTTCTCTCTGTCTCTCTCTCTCACTGTCCACTCTGCCTGTCAAAAAAAAAAATAAATAAATAAATAAAAAAAATAAAAAAAAAATAAAAAGGCTTTTATGTATTTATTTTAATCTGTTTGAAAGGCAGAGTGAAAGGGTGTGGAAAGGGTATCTTCTATCTGCAGGTTCACTCCCCAAATGTCCACAAAAGCCAGGGCTGGGCCAGGTCAAAGTCAGGAGCCTAGAACTCTATCCAAGTCTCTCACATGCATGGCAGAGGCCTGAGCACTTGAGTCATCACTGCCTTCCTGGGTGTGCATGAGCAAGAAGCTGGATTGAACCAGAAGAGCCGGGGCTCCACCAGCACTCTGATATGGGATGTGGGCTTCCCGAGTGGTAGTTTAACTCATTGTGCCACAACACTGGCCCCATTTTCAAATTTTTTTTCCCACTTAACTAACTGGAAACATTTTCCCATACTCTTGCATAACCCTCCAATTGATCTTTTTGCAGCATTGTATAATACCCTATTCTCGTACTTACATTCCCTCGCCGACTATGGAGACTTTGGCTGTACCTATTTTCTGTTATACATAGGGACAGATCCAGGTTTTGGGGGACTTCAAGATTATGTAATTTTGTATAATACAATTGTCCAAAAACCCCAAAGTTATCTTACTTTTGCAAACAGGACCATATGAACACATTGCTTAGGGTCCCTCCATGGCTTTTGGAAGAGGCCTATGAAAATGAAGTGTCCTGAAAGTTAATTTTATCAGCTTCATGCTTAGTTACCTAAGATCATAATCTTACCATAAACACTGGAGCATTTAATTTTTCTGTCTTGCATTATTTCTCAAGAATTTATTTTGACACCATCCACCTTGAAGAAGGTGAGAAATAAAAAAAACAGCCACTTAGATAAACCTACTTTTTGACTCCCTTTCCACAAAGTTTTTTTTTTTGTGAAGATTTACATTATTTTATTTATTTGAAAGGCAGAGTTGGAGAGAGAGATATTCCATCCGCTGGCTCACTCCCCAAACAGGAGCTGGACTGGAAGTGGAGGAACCAGGATTCAAACCAGCACCCATAAGGGATGCCAGAATCGCAGGTAGCTGCTTTACCTGCTATAACACAGCACCGAACCCTCACAATTTTTTTTAAAATTAATTAATTTATTTGAAAGTCAGAGTTAGAGAGAGAAAAAGAGAGAGAGAGAGAGAGAGAGAGATAGATAGATCTTCCCTCTGGTGGTTCACTCTCTAGCCAGCTGCAATGGCTAGGGCTGGACCAGGCTGAAGCCAGGAGCCAGGAGTTTCCTTCCAGTCTCCCACATGGGTGCAGGGGCCCAAGTCCTTGGGCCATCCTCCACTGCTCTCCTAGGTCATCAGCAGAGAGCTGGATTGCAAGTGGAGCATCTAGGACACGAACCTGTGCTGATGTGGGATGCTGGAGTCACATGCGGTGATTTTGCTGGCTTGCCACAAAGTCTTTGAAGTACCCTGTGTTGAGCAGTTATATATATATATATATATACACACACATATATATACATATATATATAAAAAACATTACTCAATTTAATGCATAACACAAGCCTAAAGGAGGAATTATCTCCACTTGATGAACGAGTCAACTGAGATGCAGTGTATTTAAATATCTCGTCCAAGGTTACACATTTAGCAACGAATTGGGTTTGGATCCTCACCCACACGCGTCCCTTACCTCATGCTTTCTCCAGTAGGCCATCGCTGTCTCCACAGCCTCACTGGCTTCACAGAACACGGATGTGGTGTTACATCATTGCTGCAAGCTCTGCTCAGCTATGTTATGGGGGAGCTGGAACCTAAAGCCAGCAGACTCCCGACCCTGTCCTTGGGAGAAGGTGTTTTAGGTCCACAGCTGGCTGGCTGTTCTCACTGGAAATTGGGGGACCGGGATGTGTCTGTTTCTGCTCACCCACGAGCTTACAGACCTGCCTGGCCTCGACCCCAGCATGTGTTTCCTGGGCGGGCAGTGTCTGAAGTCACTGACCCGGGTTGGGTTCAGGTCCCTGCCTGAGCGGCCTTGGGTAAGTCACCGGACCTCTCAGCTTACTTTCCTTCTGGGTGCAATGAAGACACTAAGCGTCAACACCTGCGCATCCCAGGATGTTTCGAGCCTCAAACCTGATCGTGCACGTGCCGGCACTAGGTGAACTCCAGTGTCTCTGGGGTGTGAGCAAGATCCCGGGAGTGACTGCATTTCCTGGCCCGGCTGCCTTCTGGGAAGGGTGGGTGACAGCTGCACAGAAGGCACCTGACTGTCGGGGTGTTGGGGAGGATTTCAAGGGGTGTCTACGCCCCTGCTCCCCAACGGCTCTGTGCACTGGGAGAAGCCAGAGGCTGTGCAAAAGCCGAAGCGCTGGGGGATCTCTTCCTTCTGAGCCTCGACCAACAAAGCGTGCCAATCACACATTATTAAATGCAAACTCAGCTTTGTCCAACTGTCCCTTTTGCAGGCTTAGGTGCCCATGCACTCGTCTTGGAAATTTTACTCCTCCAGTTTACACATTTTTACGTCTTGGCGGCCTTCACTCGGGGAGCAGGTGTCTCTGGGAAGGCAGGAGGAAAACAAGAATTGCACTTCGGCCTTGGCATGTGAACCTACCTCAGCAGATCCACGTTTAAAGCTGGTGTGACCAGCGTTGGTTTTTATTTTCCTTAAAAAAAAAAAAAAGGTGTTCAAACCGATTTCCAACCCCGAAGACCGAGTGCATTACCCCGTGAGGGACTCCGCCGTGGCTCCTGGAGCGTGGACCCGCTCGCCGGCCCCCCGTACCTCGCAGGCCCCGCTGGCGGCCGCCGCACCCCGGGAGCTCCACCTGGCTCGTCCGGCGTCCGCCGCACAAAGAGCGGGGCCGGGGGCGGCCCGGCCGAGCCGCAGAAAGTAGTCCCGACCACGCCGGCTCCAATGTTGTTCGACGTCGCCTCACGCCCTCCGCGGGGAGGGCCGAGGCGGCCAGCCCGGGAAAGAATCCCATCGGAATGCGCGGCCCGGCAGCCTTTCCTGGAGCCGCTCGCCTCTGCTCGCCCCACGCATCTCCCGGGGTCTCGCCGCGGAGGCCGAACGCGCGGTTTTCCTCTTCTGTGCCCAAGTGCGCGGGAAGCGGCGCCGCGGGAGGGGGGCTCGGCCGCGCGCAGGGAGACCTCCACGGCGACCCTTGGCGACGGCGGGCGGCCGTATCCCTGCGCCGCTGCGCGAGAGGAAGAGGCTGAATGAGGAGCTGCGCGGGGGAAGTGGGGCGCCGGGGGAGGAGGCGGCGGGATGGGAGCAGACGCTGGCGTCGCGCGAGCCCGGGGCAGAGCGGCGCGGTAGAGAGGGCGGCGGCGGCGGCGGCGCGCGCGGAGCCTTGACGTGCCTCTTTCTTTCTTCTTCTGTCTCGGGGAAGCCGGGGAGCATGATCGCGCAGCTCTGCCGCTGCGGCGGCCGCCCCGGCTCCTCGCCTCCCCCTCCTCTGGTCGCCTCTCGCCGGTGAGAGGAGAGAACGCGAGCCGGGAAGATGGGGGCCGTGCTGAGGAGCCTCCTGGCCTGCAGTTTCTGCGTGCTCCTGAGAGGTGGGCAGAGCGCGCGCGGCGCGGGGCTGGGGGGGGCGCCCTGGAAAGTTGGTGGGATTTGGGGGTGGGGGGAGGTGGCCTTGTTTTGTGTGTCTGGGGGGGAGGGGAGCGAGGGAGGAGGAGAGGGGAAGAGGAGCGCCGAGAGGCCTGGTCGTGGGGAAGGAGCGAGAGAAAGGGGCCCGGGCGCAGGGGCTGTGCGCTCCGCCCGGCCACGATCCAGACCCCAGCCCGGCCTTGCAGACCTCGGCGTGGACAAAGCTGCGCGTCCCTCCGGGCTGCCTGTCTCGGGAAAGCGCTGGCCGCCGGCTCTGGCGGAATGACTGAGTGTGCGCCTCCGGCCGCCGGGCGTCCTCAGGGGAAAGGGGCTTTGCTCCGAGTTCGGCTTAAAAAAACAAACAAAAACCAAAAACGTGGGGAGTCCGAGATGCGCCCTGGAAACCCCCACCTTCCCCCGATCTCTCAGGTGAACTTTCTAAGCCCTCTTGGCGATTTTTCCAGGCCTTGGTTGCTACTGATCATTGGCTTCCGCTTGGGCTGGGACGATCCCGGGCGAGGGCACAGTTGGAAAAGTGACTCCGGGGTTATAGGGCAAGCGTGGCAGCGTAGGGATCACCCGAGCGGCGGCCCGTGCTCCGAGACCGACGTGGCTCTGGGAAGCCCTGGTATTTGCGGAGTTGGCAGCAGCGAGTGGGAAAGTTGTGCTTGCATGCGGAGGCCCCAGTCCTGGGACCTGGATGGTCATTTGCTGCGCACCCCCACCCCACCCCGGGGGTGGGGGTGGGGGTGGGGGATTACTTGGTACTTGGGTAAATAACACAGACTGGGTAATTTACTCCGGGAGTCGCTTCCATTCCGGGGTCCCGGGATGTGTTGCATTGCCCTGCAGTGCTGACACGCTGGCTGTGACTTCTCGTGTGTGAACTGGGTTTGGGCTGGTCCGCAAGTTTTGCACAGCTCTTCTCAAAACTTGTGGAGAGGAGTCCCGGGCTCTTCAGCAGCTCCCAGCGGAGGAATTTAAAGTCCAAAGTGTGGTAGTTGTGGTTTTGTTAAAATTCTGGCTCGTGGTCCTGGTCAGGTCTTCGCAGGTGTGGGGTCTCTGGAGGTTTTCTAGCTACTGATGTAACAGACAAGTTGTGTGAAGCCCTCCCAAACTTACCAGGTACAGCACATGACAGTAATCAACGATCTTGTGTTAGAAATGTGACAGATGCGTCGTTTCTGTGCGCATGTGTGGATGTATTTTTGGGTGACAGGAACTGACCTTTTTGATGTAGAAGGGATATTTTCTTTACTCTTCTGCACCACTATTAGGATTGCGTGTTACATTTATCCTTAACGATTAACACTTAATCCAGACGGTCCATTTCCACAGGTAAACCCCAGAGAATGTAACGCAATTTTATGTTATGTACTTGGGCGTTATAATCAGTATAGTATCTGTACTTTACTGTTACAGTCACTGTTGAAAGTTTCACAGCTGTAACTGTGAGAAACAATTGTATGTGTCATAGGGCTGTGCATATATATATATATATTATTTGATAGATAGAGTTAGACAGTGAGAGAGAAAAAGTCTTCCTTCCTTGGTTCACCCCCCTCAAAAGGCCGCTACGCAGATCCGAAGCCAGGAGCCAGGCGCTTCCTCCTGGTCTCCCACGGGGTTCAGGGGCCCAAGCACTTGGGCCGTCCTCCACTGCCTTTTCGGGCCAAAGCAGAGAGCTGGACTAGAAGCGGAGCAGCCGGGACTAGAACCCAGCACCCATATGGGATGCTGGCGTCGCAGGTGGAGGATTAACCAAGTGAGCCTTGGCACCGGCCCCTGTGCACATATATTTTAAGACAGAAGGCTAATAGAATTAACCAAAGAATGCCAGATGGTTACAGGAGTCTTGGGGAAGTCTAAACCCATAACCTGGGGGTTCTTCTGGTTGCCCAGTTGTATTTCTTGGAGGGGAAGAGTGTGATGTAAATGCTACTAATTTATTTTAACACCAGGTTTGAGCCCAGAGTTGGATGTGTTCATTGGAGTTGAAAGAGGTTGCATTTGGAGAAATGTTTTGAAGTATTAAATTGTGTAGCAAGACCTAGAAGAGGTGATAGTTTAAGAAGTGGAGCTCATTTTATGTTGTAGCATCATAATGGTATGAGGTGGTCTTTTCTGTTTACCAGCATTTAGCAGTGTGTGCTTGTTATTTGAACTAAAATTATGTTTGATGTGAAGTGGTCATAATTTAGATTGTCTTCCTTCCTTGATAATGTCATCTACAGATACAAAAATGATATTTAGTCAGCCTTGGACTCCAAGGAGAAAAGTGTGACTAGTTTGTTTCATCAAGGTCATTTCTCCTCACAGAAGAGTTGGAGCTTTACCATTGGGTATGTGATGGATTGTGTAAGAAAGAGCTTGGGAGACTTTTTGTTCTTGTATGTAGCCCTGTTTTGTAAGTAGCTGAAATCCAGGGAATATTATTTCCCAGGCTGTATCCTGTTCCTACCATTGGATGATGAGGTGATGAGGTGTAGTGGAAACATTTGGGGATATTTTTCAATACCAAAATCTTAGGTTAAAAGCCCAAACTTTACTACTTCATAGCAAACTTCTCTGAGCCCCAGATTCTTTACCTGTAAAATGTGGCTGATGATAGCTACCTGATGAATTTACAGGGTTATCAGATATATTAAATGAAGTCATGAATAAAAAGTGCTTTGCAGATGTTTTATTTTGTTGTACTTTTTCATTGTGGGCATATCCTCAAAGGCAGGGATTGAGGTTTCAAAATGTAATACGCACATTTCTTGAACACTCTATTCTAACCGCTTTGGTGAGTAGAGAAGCTCAGATTCAGAGACTATTTAACTTGATCAGGATCCTGTGGCTAATTATTGATAAGGCAGAGATGTATTCATTTTTGAAACAAATAGATATGGAAAACCTACCATATGTCAGTCTCTCGTATAGTGGTGAGCAAATCATACCCGATTCCTGCCCTAATGGATCCAACTCTTCTCTTGATTCTGTCAAGTACAAATTACAAAAAACTGATTTTGAAGAGGAAGTATTTGTGATGAATATATTAATTTTGGAGTACCATTAGTGTGTGTGATCTGTAAGTGCTATGTTTAGCTTTTTTTGAGGAGACTTGTTATATAAAAAGTGCCTGCCAATGACTTTTCTTGCTTTGTTTCTAAAGAGTTGGTACATAATGTTGGACCAAATCTCTAGTGTTTCTCATCTTACATTTCTATAGGAATGGTCATCGCAGAGTTTTTTTTTTTTTTTCCCCTTTGAAACCAGATATTATATAAAGCCTTGAGGAAGTAGAACAGATTTTGGGGTAGGAATCAGGATTATGGATCTAAACTTGCCGTTAGCTAGCTGTGTGACCTTGGGGTAATTACTTCATATCTGTACAGTTAAATGTCTTCATTAGAGTAACCAATCCTTCTTTTGGAGATTGATAATTCATATAATCACAGTAAGGGCACTGAAAAGGCCTGAGGTAAAGAAACCAGTTTAACCTTGTTCAACCCAGTATTTTCCAAGCTTGTTAATTAATAAATCCCTTGACTCTTCTGCTACACTTTCCTTCCAGAAAACACACTTGGAGAAAACCTGGGCTAGATGATCCTTTAAATTTAGACTGGCTTATATGAGTTATTGATATCTGATCATTTCGTGTAGTTAGTTTTCTCCTTGTTTACTTATTGGGTCTTAGATTTACTCATTTAGACAGAATAATTTGGTATGAAATGTTAACAGAGCGGCTACCAGTGATTTCCTGTGGTTCAATGTTTCAGAATTTTTATTTTTTTGCTTTAATTGAAGGCATTTCTACTTGTTGAACTGCCTTGCCCTTAAATATACTTCGGCTGTTAGAAAAGATGGTCTTTTTTGAGTATCAACGGAAATTCTGTCACAGGGCATATAAATGGAAAACATTTTATCTGAATGTACACTTTTAGGGGCTGGTGTTGGACACAGTAGTTCTGCGGCTTGGGAAACCTGTATCCCGTATCAGGGATGAGCTCTGTGTTTCAGTTCTGGCTCCACTCCTGATTCCAGCTTCTGGTTGATGCACACCCTGGGAGGCAACAGGTAGTGGCTCAAGTATTTGGGTTTCTGGCTCTTGGCTTTGGCTTGGCCCAGCCTTGGTGTTGGGTCATTTAGGAAGGGAACCAGGGCATTGGAGATTTTTGTCTTTCTGCCTCTCAGATAAAATCAGTAAATACAAATTTAAAGGAAGTCAGTTTTTTGTCTGAATGACTTGAGTGTACTGGAAACACAACACAGGTTATGGTGCTGTTTTTGCAGTAATGGCTCTGAGAAGACTCTCTTTCATCGTTGAAATTTTATTGAAAGTTTGTATTTGGTGAAGGTGATACAGCAGGGGACATGATAGCAGCAAGGTGTGGGCTTTGTTGTTAGACCAACTTCAAATCTTCTGCAGCTTTATGTAGTGCTGGAAAGGTACTTAGTCTCCCCCCCTGTTAGATGGGGATAGTAACGTAGAGGACTTCAGTGCTGCTTGACCAGATAATGTTTGTGAAGGGGTAGGGCAGAACTCACAGTCAATAGGAAGCCTTAAACAAATGGTTGATACTATTAAGATGCTTGAATTAGGGGCCATCTGCAGCCATATGGGTGCTGGTTTGAGTCCCCGGCTGCTCCACTTCTGATTCAGCTCCCTGCTAATGTGCCTGGGGAAGCGGTGGAGAATGGCCCAAGTGCTTGGGCCCCTGCTACCCATGTGGGAGACCAGAAAGAAGGTCCTGGTTCTGGCTTTGGATTGGCCCAGCTCCAGCCATCGTGGCCATTTGGGGAGTGAACCAGCAGATGGGAGCTCTTTAACTCTTTCTGTCTCTCTCTAACTCTGCCTTTCAAAGATAAAAATAAATCTTTAAAAAAGTGCTGAAATTGAAAGAAGAATTAATGCTGAGGAAAGATCAGTAAAGCATGTTAAGTTCCTGCTGTATTCCTGGCACTGTTTTTGACAGTTGAT